GATGTGACTCTGTCCTTGGACCTTTTCGGGCCAGGCTTCGAGCCCTAAGCCCTAAACCCTAAGCCCTAAGGCTTCGGAAATCCTAGACCCTAAATTAAAGGAAACTACAGGTGGGGAGTTTAGGGTATATATAGGGCTTCTATAAGGCTTCCATAAGATATATAGACCTTCTACAAGGCTCCTATAACGGTAACTACCCACCTGAAAATGTCCTAGACTCAGGAATCTGGCACACAACCATAGACTATTAGGGTTTAGGGCATAGGGTTTAGGGTTTTAGGGTTTAGGGTTTTAGGGTTTAGGGTCTAGGGTTTCGGGTTTAGGGTTTAGGGTTTAGGTATTGATCTTCATGAGAACCATAATCTAGTCAATAACAAATATCAGGAATCGCCGGAGGGCTGTTTACTGGGTTTAGGGTTTGGTCTTTGTGGGTTTGAGCTCGGCAGCTTTGGGTTTAAGGGTTCAAGGGCGCCTCGGCCGTGCTCTCTTGGCATCTCAGGTGGGTTTCAGGAAATCAGGTAGCCCCTTGCTTGTAAAGAGTCCGCAAAACCTGAGAAACCCTTCAAAATCCACGCAACAACTTTATTACAAAAAGGGGAGGAGCATGTGGAAGATCTCGCAAGAAACCATGAACACCTGGTTTTCAGAACCCTTCAGGATGTACCGGGGTTTTGACGGCATAACTTCGAATCGACTGGTCTTGACGGCATGGCATGCCTTTGATGACAAGGCCCAGCTTTTGATGCGGTGGTACGTACAATTTCTATGTCTGATTTGCTCGAGGGTTAAGCCCTGAACCCCAAACCCTAAACCCTAAACCCTAAACCCTAAACCCTGAACCCTAAACCCTAAACCTTTACGGGTCTAGGGTTGAGAGGTTTTACACGAGGCCCTGGCATGGCGACCATCATCCTGAATCGGGTCCTGCGGAGGCTCTGTCGGGTTGAGAGGTCTAGGATTTTTTGGGGTTCTTTCGAGTTTTAGGGTTTTGGAGTTTAGGATTTAGGGTTTAGGGTTTAGGGTTTTAGGGTTTTCGGGTTTTAGGGTTTTGGGGTTTTGGGGTTTAGGGTCTTGGGGCTGCTGTAGGGGTTTAGGGGTCTAGGCTCTTGGGGCTTTGGTTTAGGGATAGTTTAGGGTTTTCAGGTTTGCTTGGGGATGCTTGGCGAAGATGCGAGCACCGCCTGAAGAGCAAAGACTGTGCACAGAAAGTGACTTGGAGGATCATGATGGGACTTAGTAAGTATGGGTTTGGAAGTAGTTATAAGTATAGCTACCCCAAGAATAAGCTCAGTTACCAAGTCCCATGATCCTTACACAAAGGGATGCCCTGGAAAAGGGGAAATCTCGCAGCTCACTGCTTGGCCTTCTCTTCCAAAATCGCCCGAAACGAGTACCGTAGTAACTGCCGTAGTAGTACTGTCGTCATTATGATGGTACTTATTTCTCACTGCTGCCATGCTTATATCGTTCTGATTGGGATGCTGCCTTGGCCAGTGGCTAGCTCCTGGACTTCACCAGACAAGGCATTGGAAAACCCACCAGCCTGGCAATCATCAATCATCCGGCGCACGCTGTCAAGGATGCTTTCCTGCTGCGAAAGCGTCCGGAGCTTGTCCACTCTTTGACAATATGCCACAAACACCGTGGAAGCGCTCCGCGGTGTAGCTAAAATCGGGATCATTTGCAAGATGTGGACATGCCACCTGCCTGTGAGTCTCGACTGACCTCTGTTCCCTGAGCTCGCTGATAGCTCTCTCGCTCGCTCTCTCTCTCTGTCTCTCTCTCTCTCTCTCTGCAGCTCCTGGACAATGTCTGGCAGCGGGGACAGCGACTTCCTGGCTGGAGCACTACGAATTCTGTCGGTGTATGGGTGACGTGGCAAAGAGGTTTGGAAAGCCGCAGCCTTAGCACATCGCTGCGCACAACGATCAAGACGTCACGGCCCTCCAACAGCAGCTCTCGGCCTCGACATCAGGTAGAAGTGGGCCACCATGGATGTCACCTTGGCCAGAAGCTGCTTGCAGTCAACCGAAGTAGGCCTAGGAATCAGCAAACCCACATTCAAGGCAGAGAAGATGCACAGAAGCCTCCGCATGTATGGCTCTCAATCTGAGCAGGCATCTTGCTCACTTTCGTTCTGACTGTAGCTCATCTGGCAATATCTTGCTAGATCTTCTTAACAGCACAGCCGAAGCACCGTCACTTCGACCTCCGAGGAGTAGCTGCAGCCTCTCAGCATTGCAGCTGCGAGGCAGCATGCACGGGCGTTAGGGCTTGATTCTGGGTGTTGGATTTAAGGCATTTCAACGATGCTTTCGTGCTGCTGTAGGATGTTTGGGCTCAGGGTGTGCACCCTGGCGGGCCCACTATCCGACTGTACCTCCCGAACAGCATGCTGCAGCAGCAGCATCGGCAGCGGCAGCAGCAGCAGCAGACCCCTGTTGAAGAGGTGACCAGGATTTGTAATTAGCATTGCAATTCGGTGCGTTCTAGTATAGTGCAACATAATATGTAGCATATCCGAGCGCAGTCTACTAATGCTACGGTAGAGAGCATGCACACTTCGTGGCTATACTCTGCTATGATACTGTTACTACATCATACTTTTCCGCAGAAGCGGCATCATGCAAGCCGCGGGATCCCTGAGAGAACAACATTATCAATGAAGCCGTTTATCGCTGGTTCGAACCCTTACCAAAAACCCTTATGGAATCTCCTGTAAAGACCCTTCTGGGAGAAAGCCCTCATTCTATACACACCCTAGTAGAACCCATTTCAGAAAAGCCCTCCTTC